TATCCTAGCAACTTAATTAACTGATATTATACCCCAAGGATGCAAAGGTCAGAAAGCCCCTGTGTGATCAAGTAACTCTGCTCCAGTTACACCGGGTACTTATTGGTCAGTGGGTTAATTGAAAAGCACAATTATGGGCGGTGACAAAGTTTAGTAATTGAGAGAGTCTCCTTAAAATGGTCGCTGTAAAAACGATTATACAATCACATCAGTTGTGCCGCCAATTGCCTAAAGACTAATAGCTTCATAACGGTAACCGGGGCTCCTCCGTGTAATGATTTTCACACAAAATCAAATAGTCAGTACATAAAAGAACATATAGTGGTGTGGAAAATGGCCCACCACAAACAAGCTACAGTACAAGCTTTTGAACCTTAACTTAAAATTTAATAACCTTACAAATCCATTATAAATATTAATGATATAGTTAATAATTCACAAAATATGATGTCTATATAATAATAATAATAATAGTAATAATAATGATAATAATAAAACTTTAAAAAAAAAAATTATATATAGGTAAGACATACCCTACAAACATTATTTTCACAAGAATACATTTTTTATTTATGTTCTTATTTAGTAATTCTTTTTTAAATATCGATATATTTGTACACTCTCTTATGCTTCTAGCAAGTTGATTCCAAAGCTTTGGCCCTCTATATGTTATAATTTGCTGACCCATACTGGTTAATTTTAATTTTATACAATAATTTTCTTTATTTCGAGTGTCATACTTATGATAGGTATCAAAGATATTAAATAAAGAATTAAAAGATTTTTGTAAACCCTCCTTTATTAAAATTAAACATAAAATTCAAAATATTGTTTTCATATAAATCAAATATTTCAATTGTACCTGTTTTAACAAAGAGCTGTGCAGAAGGATGGTGAAAATTGACATTGCAAATTATTCTAAGGGCTTTTTTCTGGAGTAAATAAAGACGGTCCATGTTTTCTTTATTTCTCGTACCCCAAATGATTATTCCATATGTTATCACAGGTAATATAGGTGTCTTGTATATGGTAAGTAAAACTTCACATGGTACTGCATTTTTTATTTGACACATGGCACCAATGATTGAAGAAATTTTACAGGAAATTGCATTTGTATGGTTTTTAAAATTCAATTTTTCATCAATGATGACACCAAGAAATTTAGTATAAGGTACCCTATCTATTTTAACTTCGTTTATGGAAAGTACGAGTTGGGATGTATCAATATTAATATTTTTTCCACTGAATAGCATGTACGTTGTCTTTGACGTATTAATAGTTAACCTGTTGATTTCAAACCATTTCCCAATTTTATCAAGTTCATTTTCCATTGTTGTAAATGCAGTGATAATATCATTATGTTGTAAAAAATTATTTGTATCATCCGCAAACATTATTAAATCAATAATATTGCTTACAGAAAACTTGTCATTAATAAAAATTTAAAATAGCAGGGGTCCAAGAATTGACCCCTTTGGAAACACCCTGCTTTAATATTTTAGTTTCAGACAGACAATTTCCAACTTGTACAAATTGTATTCTTTCACTAAGATAGCTTCGGTACCATTCAAGAACCACACATCTTATTCCATAATATGGTAATTTATTAAGCAATAATTTGTGGTCTATCGAATCAAATGCCTTGGATAAATCCAAGAATACACCAATCATAAAATGCTTGTTATCAACTGCTGTTGTTATTTTGTCAAGTGCTTGCAAGAGGGCGTGATTGAATGGCCTGCCCTAAACCCATATTGTGATTCATGTAGGAGATTATATTTACACAAAAAGCTAAATGTTTGGTCATATACAATCCTTTCATACACTTTGGATATACAGGGTATATCGAAATTGGTCTATAATTTGTTATGTTCTCTTTTTCTCCCTTTTTATACACAGGAATTGTTTTAGCAATTTTCAGTTGATTAGGAAATATACCTGATTGAAGTGATAAATTAATTATATGAGATAAAGGTTTAGCCAGTATATCTAAGTTATTCTTTATAAGAAAGGCACCAATATCATCAGAACCACATGACTTTCTTTCATTTAAGTCATTAATGTATTTATTTGTATCAGATTCTGATACCTCTCTAAAAAACATTGAATTTGTCATATTGTGTAATGTTGCCTTAGCTGTATTATTTTCGTGATTATCATCACATGTCATTTGTTCACCTATATTAATGAAGTATGAGTTGAAAGCATTCGCTATAGCTATCAGGCATTTAATTGCTGGGAGTTTAATTTCATTTTGGAAGGTATGCCTTGATGTTTCTTCCTACCTAATATTGTGTTAATAACACCCCATGTTTTCTTTATGTTACTCTTGTGCTTTTCAAATTCATTTTTATAGTAAATCTCTTTCCTTTCCCTGATTACAGATGTTAACTTATTTTTAAATTTCTTATATTTAGCTTTATTCATATCTGATGGTTTCTTTTTATATTTAATGTATAGTTTGTTTTTGATACAAAGTGATTTATGAATTCCATGCGTTATCCACAGGGATTTAATTGTATTTACTTTTAACTTAACTTTTATCAATGGAAAACACCGATCTATCATTGTTTTTAGAGTATCTGACAAACGTTTATATGACTCATTAGCGTCCTCACAGCTAGTTATTTGCTGCCAGTCATGGTCCTCTAATCCAATTCTAAACTGATGTTTTTATTGTTCCGTATAGCCTCTTTTAATCAAAAATTTTTCTGGTGGTGGTGATGAATGTTTTTCTGAATCATCTATGCAGAAAACGGCAAAGTGATCAGAGATGTCATTAACTAATATTCCTTGACTATTTGTATAAATATTATCAATTATTGTGGCAGTACAGTATCCTTTGTGATTCGAGTGGGTTTATTTATAAGAGGAATGAAAAATTCAGTTAACATATTATCCACATGAGTTTGAACATTAATGTCGGAAATATATTTCTGAAGATCTAAATTAAAATCGCCCATAAGATATGCTTTTTTACTTTCATTGTTTATTGTGTACATTAATTCACTGAGTAGGTTATTAAATGTTGGGATATGTGCTTTAGGGGGCCTGTAGATTATACCACATATACAGTAATTAGTTTATCATCATTCTGTACTTCAACTATAATACACTCTCCTTCGTTTATCATAGCAGACAGGTCATTTCTTGACCGATAGGTTATACTTGAGTGGATATATAGCGCAACAGATCCCCCTGCCTGGGTTTCTCTATTTTTATATATAGGTATATATAATGTGGGAGTGTGTACAAGCCAAAGTGATGTCTGCTTGAGAGCCAAGTTTCTGAGAGTCCTATTAGGCTAAATTCAAAATTTAGAGATGAAATATAATTTTTGAATGTGTCAAATTTTTTTACAATGCTTCTGCAATTTAATGCAAACATAGAAAATTTATTTGTTGGTGTTTGGCTAAACATGGATTTAAATTGATCAATACTGAAGTAATGGTTTTCCTTATAATTAAGTGCAGTTATATCTTCGTCCTCATCATTGATATCAACATTTGCAATTGAAAACATATATTTCTTAGAATTTTAGTTAGTAGATGTAGATAATAATAATAGTACTAATAATAATAGTAGTAATTATGGCAATAACAATAACTATAATAATAATAATATAATTAAATATATTAAGTTATATAACACCTTGAGGAATTTGTAACGTATGTTATTACTTTAACAGCTACCCTGCCATTAAATGACTTTCCGTGATCCTACATTTATAAAATTTAATGAAATACAGTCATACATATACTCTCAATATATATAAGTTGTAAGCACAGATACATACAAAATGTTATAAAAACATAGACCATTCGCATTCACATATATCCCCATCTATTAGTAGAGGAGTCAAGTTGGAATTAGCATGGCTTAATGTTAGTAAATAATCTAAGTGATGTTGATGGGTCTTCATTTGCATCTTTGTTCATTTCACCTAAACTGAATACACTTTACATGAATAATTGCAGTCTATCATGTGTTGTTATAAATGTTCTAGTAGAGGAGTCAAGTTGGAATTAAAGGACCTTTATATGAGAGGTAATGATCTCTGTGACATTGATGGTTCCTTATTGGCATCCTTATTCATTACACCTAAACTGAATAATACACTTGGCATGAATAATTGCAATCTATCAAGCGTGGTTATAAGTGATAGGATTAAAGAATGTATTAGTAGAGGAGGCAAGTTAGAATTAGGCTGTCTTTATATCAGAGATAATGATCTCCGTGACATAAATGGTTCTTTATTTTCATCCTTATTTATTACATCTAAACTGAATAAACTGGACATGAATAACTGTAATATACCATGTGTAGTTATAAATGATATGATTAGAGAGTGTTCTAGCAAGTTGGAATTAGCGTGGCTTAGTGTTAGTGCTAATAATCTAAGTGAAGTTGATGGGTCTTCATTTGCATCTTTGTTCATTTCACCTAAACTGAATACACTTGACATGAATAATTGCAATCTATCAGGTGTTGTTATAAATGATATGATTAGAGAGTGTTTTAGGAGAGGAGTCAAGTTGGAATTAAATTCGTTTCACAATGGTGGTAATAATCTGCGTAACATTGATGAGTCTTCATTTGCATTTTTATTCATACACCTAATCTGAACAGACTTGACATGAATAATTGCAGTCTATCAAGTGTTTTTGTCAACTTGGAATTGGAGTGACTTGATATCGATGGTAATAATCTGAGTGATATTGACTGGTCTTCATTACATCGTTACTCCTATTGTAATTTGAATAATTATTTCCCACCTGTGTTGCTTTTGTAGACAACTCCTCATTCAATAATTTTTAGAGATAAGTGTGAGCGATGACGACATCGAGGCATTGCCATCTCTAATGTGTACAGTTCTTTATTATGTTTGTTTCTTTAGTAACAGTCTTAGAGAGCCACAATATGTACTGATTTCAATATTTTCATAATATAATATAATGACTAATATATATTACGGTATACTGATATTACATTCACTACAGTAGATCAAGTGCCTCTTGAAGTACAGGCTAGAGGCCCAGAGGCTTACAATGCATTTATTGAGGCACTAAAAGAGGGCAGCAAACCTATCTATCAAACACGCCTTATGTTTGTTGGACCTCAGCGCGTTGGAAAAACCAGTCTTGTCAAGGCCCTTACTGGACTAGAGTAAGTTGTCAGTTTGATGTGTTTCTAAAGACATTTTTAAAGCAGTTTGTGATCAGTAACCTGGATGTACAAAAGTAAACAGGTTCACTATCTCATAATAAAGTGTTTGTTTCAAATATATTTATATATATTTTTTTTTTCAGATTTAACAAAAATGAAGGTATTACTGATGGAATTGATGCATCACTGTCATGCACATTAAGTGTTAAGCATATCACTGACTGGAAACTGCAACCAGATAAACCAACAGGTATATGAACCTACACCACTTCTATATTCCATGTTTTGAATATAGTAGATTGACCATATACTACTACAATTTACCTCTTTAAAAGGTATTGATTTTGCATTAAATTACATTTAACTGAAACAATTATTTTCATTTTAAAGGAAAACTTATTAAAGCAAAGCAGAAATATTTGAGAGCTGTTGCAGAAAAGATGCTGCAAATGAAACGTGGAATCAAATCAAAGGTTTGTATATGAAATACTACAGCAATTCAGTTCAAACCTTTTTAGTGATTTATTGTCCAACAAATGATGTTAGTATCTTAATGACATAGGACTAATATTCATGTGTAAAAATAGTGCCAATTCAAATTTCATTCTGGTAAAAAAATATAAAACATAATGCTGCTCTTCGAAGATTGTCAAAAGTGTCTCTCTGGACAATATGGGCCTGCGTTAAAATAAAAAACTTTTAACTAGAAAATAAAATTAACTCTCAGTAGAAATAATACCATTCTGGTAAAAAATAAACTTTTGTAAAACGGATCATAGGGCATTACCTCATTGCCATAATGGGAAGTGATGTTAAAATTACCTAAAAAAAGAAAAATTAATTAAATCATCAAAAATATATAAAATTAAAAAATAAATGAAGCACAAAAATAAAATCATACGTAAGAAACTTATGAAAAACTAAAACATGAAAACCAATTTGATGTCAGCAAGACTCAAACTATGGCTGCAGTGAGAGTTCTTTTTTCCATTACTCTAAATAACCTGACCCTACTGAGGTCAGTTCATTTTTACATTGTTTATTAGAGTGCAAAATTTGTTCATGCATTTTACGGTAATTCTGTGTTTAACATAGCTGTAGTTAGTTTTGAAACTTCACATAAATGTTTAATCACCCATTTAATAATATTCAGAATGCCGTCATGTTTTAATATGCACATTTTTTATGTGGTCTTTGCTTGGACAAATTTTGAAGAAGATTCAACAAGCAAGGAAAGTGTTGGACAGAAAACCTTGTGCAGAACATAGGATAAAACGATTACTTTTTCTGCTAACGCAGAAAAATCCAAGATTCAGAACACAAATATTTATTTTTTTTTAACCTAAGGCAGGAAATCCAAAAAATATATTTATCATTTCGCAGAAAGCTGTTTCTAAAATTTATTTTGACTTCTTTAGCAATTGACACAATCTATAATAGTTTCATTTATTTTCCCACCTTAACTTTTAGACAATTTCACTATGAAACAAGCATGTTCATTTTGTGGATTTGTTATTTATGTGAATTTTTAGTTTTATATTGATAATAAATTTATAATGTATAAATAAATAAATTGTATAATGTGTATACTTGCATTTGCCATATTTACATCAAGAAATTTTCAAGTGGAGAACATAATGCAGCACAAGACCAAATGTTAACATCTCAAGGTATGAATTTACATTTGTATTGATATAATTAAAAAAATAAATAAATAAAATCTGAATCTTGTATTGTGTACATATATTGACAGACAGACAGGGGAGTAGATAAATACTCTTTAAGACCAATTTTGGAAACTTGGGATGATCTTGAGGTTTGGTCTCCAATTAGTGTTTAATAATTGAAGAATAATTGTTAGTACTTTGAAGAAGTAATCTTGAAATTAAGACTATACTTCAGTTTTGCATTGAAGGGTGGAACTGAATGTTATCATTTGTTTGCCCATAGAGGTCTCCACAATATTTGTTCAATAAATTCCAGAGAGCAGTTAATCTGGTGGTAGCCACTTAGCTGTTTAGGTATTGGACAAGGTTGCTGCGTAGCAC